TGTCAGCCTCTGCCCAGCGCCACCGAGCGGCTGGGGACCAGCCGAGCCAGGCAGAGCTGCAAGGCAGTCAGGACCTGGAGAACGCCAGGCCCCGTGGCAAGGCCCCTGACGGGCAGGTCTCTGGCGCCCGGACCCGGCTCCCGCGCACCCAGTCCAGCGTCGAGGCAGAAGCCAATGCTCAGAACGTGGAGCGGGCCCTCCTGACCCCGTTTAAAAAGGACTTTGAGTTCATGTGGGATCGTCTGGAGGCCGGCCCCATGCTGCTGAAGATCAAAGACCTGGACTTCTCAGACCTGGGTGAAGAGGAAGATTTTGATGCCTTAGAGCAAGGGGCAGTAGGAAATGACTCTTTCCATGTGCCTCCTCCACCACCTCCTGGCACTGGGGCACTGACTGCAGGAGGCCTCCTGGCTCCCCCACCACCACCACCCCCACCTCCTAGCTGTCCCCCACCCCCCGGCTGTCCTCCGCCCCCACCACCCCCTGTTCCTGGCTGCCCACCCCCTCCTGCGTTGCTGGGCCCCCCTGCGCCAGATGGCCGTTCCCCTGCCAAGAAGAAGAAGACGGTGAAGCTCTTCTGGAAGGAGCTGAAACACCCCAGTTCCCGTGCTGGGGCTGGCCGGTTTGGCCGGAGCACCGTGTGGGCGTCCCTGGAGAGAGTGGAGATTGACGCGGCCAAGCTGGAGCATCTCTTTGAGTCCAGAGCGAAGGAAGTGCTGAGTTCCAAGGTATGCAGCAGGTCGGGGGCCAGCGGGCCAGTCCTGACAGCCTGCAGTGGGTGTTGGGGCACTGTGGGGTGTGGCCCGAGCGCTGGCTGCCGTGGCATGCAGGGCTCCCTGGGACTGGCGGGTGTCTCAGGCCCGTAGAGGAATATTGCTGGTGCGTGGGAGAGGCCCAGTGTGGAGCAAAGGCCTGGATTAGCTGGGTTTTCCTTGTCGCTCCCTTTCTCGTAGTGTCAAGAGGAGGATGGTCCTGCTGGACTTCCCGGAGCCTGGGGGGGGGTCACTGTCCTGGGCCCACAGTCCGAGCGATGCTCAGACACTGCACCCCTGGAGTGGTTCCTTTGGTTTGGTGCGTCGAACGTCATAGGAAAGCGCCCTCCTGGGTCATGGATCCCGTCCCTGCTGGCACACGCAGCCTGTGGACTAGTAGCCCTTTGCAGGGAAAGTGGAGTGAATTCAGTGTGTCAGTTCCACTGGAAGGTCTCACCGAACCCTCCTGTCTGTGACTGGTCCCCTGCTGGTAGCATCCCAGCTGCCTTCCCAGGGCCGTGCTGGTCTGCACTGCTAAGGCAGCCCAGGCTTGAGGGTGGGAGACGGGGTGGAGGGTAGGGCAAAATCCAGGTTTGCCACATGCAAAAAGATAAACCCAGGAGCAGACCGATTCCACGTTTTCTCCCAGGGTGTAACAGCCGCCCCAGCCGAGTGTGCGGTCCGGGGAGGGAGGATTGTGTGGCTTCTCAGAGGAGCGTAATATACCACGAGAGTGGAGAATGAAATTCAGCTCTGTTGGAAGTGAGCTAGTGGATCCAGGCTGCCCTGCACAGCCAGATCCTGGCTCTACAGGACCCATTACAAGCGACGTTTCTGTAGCAGACGGTCTGTCTCCACGGCTGGTACCCAGTTTGGGGTGCATGCCGCTATTTCTTGGTAACTGACCCCAGAGAGAGGGTCCACTCTTCCTTGGGGCCAGTCGAGCCCGGGCGCGTTAGTGTCCCCTCACTGGAGAGAGAAGGGGCCCCGTCTCTCCAGGCACAGCTCGTCTTGCACCTGGCATGGCCAGTGGCATCTCTGACAACCCGAGCCCAAGGAGGTGCTGGAGATGCTGGCTGTAGTGAAAGTGCAATAGCTCTGCTGTGACCCCTACCAGCGTGCAAGGCCGTGCTCTGAAATTGCAAGTTCTGTGGGGTAATCTCCTCACCCACAGGGGTCAGGAAGGACCTTTCTTCTGGGGATAGCACTGCACCATGGCCTGGGTGCATGGGAGGGTGGTGAGGTGGAGCTGCCTTCACCGGATCCTCTGTGTTTGAATAGCTCAATGGCCTGCCGGGGAAATGTGGCTGTGTTTCAGGGTAGCCCGGGCGCTCCTAACCTGCCTTTTGGCCCCTTTTCTTCCGTTTCCCATTGCGCTCCCTCCCGCCCGAAGAAAGCTGCTGACGGGAAGAAGTGCACGGTGATCCTCGACCCCAAGAGGAGCAATGCCATTAACATCGGCCTGACGGTGCTGCCGCCCGCTCACATCATCAAGACGGCCATTCTCAACTTCGACGAGTTCGCCATTAACAAAGAAGGGATTGAGGTGAGGCTGCAGCGATTCCTCCCACGAGCCGTTTCTGGTAGTAAATGTTTCCGAGTAAAGAGCAGATGAGCTCCAGCCCTGGAGGGTCACCCTGCCCAAAGCGCGTCTCAATCCGTACTGGGTTTCTCCTCAGCACCCCTGTCTCTTGTCCCTGCGTGCACAGAGAGGCTAAGGGACTGGCCCAAGGCTGTCTGTGGCAGAGCAGGGCTTTGAACCGTGTCCACTAAATCCTAGACTAGTGCCTGGACACTGGACTGGCTCCTGGAGAGGCCAGCCGTCCTCCCTAGCCTGCAGTGTTCTCCGACAGCACTCCGGCTCCAGGGCTGCACAAGCCACGCGGGTTTTCACAGACCTGCACAGCCCAGGCCAGAGCATTTCACTGTGTGGTTCTGCCTCGACCCAGCACCCTCTGGAGCACAGCTCTTAGAAAGAGAGGCCCAGGTTTGATTTAAAGGCTGCAAGGGACAGGGAATCTGCCCCAGGGCTAGGTCACCTGTTCCAAAGCTTCATTATCTTCACTGCTAAAAAGGTGCACCTGATTCCGGTTTGGCCAGCTTCCAACCACTGGATCTCCTTCAGTTTTTATCTGCTCGGCTAAAGAGCCCTCGGGTGTCAAAATCTTCTCCCCATTGGCCCAGGAAGCCGCCCATCCAATATTCTGCTAGAGGAGCCTTAAATACCTTAAATAATTATCCTGTCATTCCTTCGGGACGTGAGCAGGGTGACTCCCAGGCCCCGGCCCCAGCTCAGCTTCCCCGTAGTGCATTTCCGACACGGGAAGGGAGTGCGAAGCAGCTGCTGTTAGTAGCGTGGGAGCTGGCGCATTGTCTTCCCCAGCCTGTGGATGTTGCTGTGTTGGAGAGTGAGATTCCGGCACAGGCCCTGCGTTGTTCTTTCCTGACATCCCTGTGTGACAGTCGTTGCATCTAGATGCTGGGTGGGCAGCTCCCGCGCATAGCTGGGTATTTGTGGGTTCCTTGCAAATAGCGTCTACCCCAGGCTGGCTGACCGGTCTCTCCCGGCCCTTCTCCAGCTCCAGAGTTCATCTGATCTTATTGCATTTTGGTTTTGCCCTGGGCTTGGCCCGTGGATGCCTGTGGTTTGGGGAGGATGAGTGGTTCCCCCACCCGCTCTGTCCTTCGCTGCCATGTGGCTTAGCTTTGCAGGAGGGGTGCTTGACTGATTGCTCCTGGTTCCCCACTAACAACGAACGGTCCCTTGAAGGAGAGCCCCGCGTGCAAGCCCTTGTGAAGGCAGACTGGAGAGTGCTGTAAGATTGCATCCCCGTCCCCATCCCCTTTGCTCACAGCAGAGCTCGCTCCCGGCTTCGCTGATCCTTGTGTTCTCTTCTAGCCAGAGCGAGGAGAAAAGCACCCGTGCACCCCCAGGATATCCGCACGCCGGAGAGTTACTCTGCTGAGGCCAAGAGCGCGCAGGCCTGAAGGCTGTTTGGTTGCCCCGTGCCCTGTCGATGCTAGTCCCGGTGTGGGGTGGGGGAGGTGTCAGTACTCGCCCAGGTGGGCATAGCCAGTCCAATGAACCATGATCTGTGACCCTTCAAGGCTACCACTGAAGCCAGCTTGACACAGTACTGCTGGTACTACTCTCTGTTTGGGCAGCTAGACCTGACCTGCTGCCTCGGACGTGCGGCTCCTTGTGTCTTACAGAAAATCCTGACCATGGTTCCCACCGACGAAGAGAAGCAGAAGATCCAGGAGGCGCAGCTCGCCAATCCCGACGTCCCCCTGGGCTCAGCCGAGCAGTTCCTGCTCACCCTCTCCTCCATTAGCGAGCTCACGGCTCGGCTCCAGCTGTGGGCGTTCAAGCTGGACTATGAGAGCATGGAGCAGGTAATGGCACAAACTCAGCCCACTGGCCGTTTCCCCGGCAAACCAGACCATGAACATCCCTGGGTTTGGTAGTGCAGATTCCCCTGGGCAGTCCCCTGGATCTCTGCGCCCCCTGCCGTGCCTGGGGACCCTGTGGCAATTCAGTCCCTGCCTGCTGTTTGCTTTGGATAGGGGCATGGTACAGCCGCGCTCAGCAGCTGTAGGCCAAGGGCCCGGGCCCGCTCTGCAGGGGCCGGCAGCCCAGCCTCCCAGGTGCAGGAATTCCCCTGGCTCGGGTGAGTTCCGCGTCCCTCATGCTGAATCCAAGGTCAGTGAGCCCACGCGGCGCTGCCCCCTGTCCCGGGGCGGGGCGGGACCCGGGCTGGCTGTGGCTAGGTCCCTGGCTCCCCGGCAGAGCGGTGAGTGCATGCGGGGGCTGGAGCTGGGCGTCGCTGATTTACCAGTCACAGCAGCTGCACCTTTCCCCGTTCAGGAGATCGCGGAGCCTCTGTTTGACCTGAAATTGGGGATGGAACAGCTGGCCAAAAACCAGACCTTCAGGTGTATCCTGGCTACTCTGCTGGCCATGGGGAACGTCCTCAACGGCTCCCAGGTGAGGGGTAGAGGGAGGGACCTGGGGTCTCCTGCAGCTGCCCGCGCAGAGCTCCTGGGGGACGAGGTGGCTGCCAGCCGGGGCTTAGAAAGGGATGCAGAGTCCCCGGGGGGAACGGGGCCGGGCCGCCATCGAAGCTGTGCGCCCAGACCTGCAGCTGTGCGTTAGAGAGCAGGCAATGTGGGGCTAAGGTGCCAAGCTAGGTGGGAAATGCTGGGGGGTGAGGGGGACTGGCTGCTGAGGGGGCCAGTGCCTAGCAGCAGGGGGACCTGTAGGGTCGCGCCCGGTGGGCTGACAGGGCTTAGTGCTGGAGGCTGGTCTGTTGCGTTGCTGCAGAACATACCGAGATCTTGTCAAGTCAAAATCCAGGCAGGGAAGCGTAAGGGAGAGCAGAGCGGAGGATGGAGTCGGACTGGAAGAAACTACTAAGGGGAATGGTTATCTGTGGAATGATGGTGTTAGGGCCCGCCTGGGATTGCGCCAGGTGCTGTACGAACACATTGTGAGAGGCAACCCTGCCCCCAAGAACTCATGGGCTAAACAGACAAGGCGTGGGAGGGGAAACTGAGGCAGAGAGGTGACGGCCACGCAGCAGGTTGGCGGCTGTGCTCCCACGTCAGCACTCTGCCCACTGGACTACGCACTGGTGTCCAGGGAGAACAAAGTGGGAGTAGACTGTGTGCAAGGCGGCAGTGCCAAGCTGCGGGTGGTCAGAGCTATCTAGAGCAGCCCCAGCTGAGACGCTGGGCCATAGCTGAGCTGGGCGGAAGGGGGTACAGAGAATGTCCGGAAGGATGGGGGGAGGGGCTAATCGGATCAAATCGCTTCAGCCTCCAGAGGAGCAGATGGCGTGGAAACGGTGCTGGTGCATACCCCTGCCAGGAAGGGCCACAGGCCTGGGATTGCAGCTGTGAAACTCAGCCAGAGCAAGTGGGAGCCTGGCTGGAGAGGCAAGGGGCGGAATCAGCTGCTGGGAGAGGGCAGTTGACTCCGGGAAGCGGGGAGGGGTGACCCGCTCTCCCCTGGCTCTGGCTGAGCCTGCGTTTGGGTTTCAGAGCCGGGGCTTCGAGCTCAGTTACCTGGAGAAGGTCTCGGAGGTGAAGGACACCGTGCACCGGCAGTCTCTGCTGCACCACCTGTGCCACGCGGTGGTGGAGAGGTTCCCCCAAACCAGCGACCTCTACTCGGAGATCGCAGCCATCACCCGCTCAGCCAAGGTAAGAGGCGTGTCGGAACCGGCAGATATTCCAGCTCCCCCCCGCTGCCCCCGGCCCCGCGGACCCGGGGAGCGACACCTGAGCCTGGCGAGCTGCGTGGCTTCTGCAGGCCTGGGGGCGGAACACGGGGTCATGTGGGGACGCAGGGCAGCAAGGGGATCCCGAGCGAAGCACGGCCATGGGTGTATCTTCACTCCTTCCTCAGGTTGACTTTGACGAGCTGGCGGAAAGCCTGAGCCAGCTGGAGCGACGGTGCAAAGCATCATGGGACAGCCTGAAGGCCATCGCCAAGCACGAGACCAAACCGGGCCTGAAGAGCAAGCTGATGGACTTCCTGAAGGACAGCTCCCGGAAGATCCACGTTCTGAAGGTGGTGCACAGACGCATACTCCACAGGTCGGTCTGCCTGCTGGGCACGGACCCCCCGGGGCTTGCTATGGCTGCCCTCGCGGGGTGGGGGGGAGAATTTGGCTGGGGGGAAGGGGTGAACGGGGGTGACAGGGTAGAAGGCTGTGGGGGGGGAGCATTTGACTGGGGGGAGGGGAAATGTTCCTTATTCCCAGTGGAGTTGAGTGTTCCCAGCTCTGCGGGGGCAGGGAACTGGAGTGCGGGGGAGGGCTGGCAGAGGGGGGGGGGGGAAATCCGGGCTGATTCAAGGACTCCCCCTCCCTTCTGGCAGTGATTGTCAGGGCAGCCTGAGGCGGCTCCAGGTGCAGGAGGGATCATGGGCCCCCCGTGTCCTCCCCTCGCCCCCAGCTGCTCCGTCTCTCGGCAGGTTCCGCTCCTTCCTGCTGTTCCTGGGCTACCCGCCGGCGGCCGCGCGGGACATGAAGGTGACGGGGTTCTGCCGGCTCCTGCGGGAGTTCGCCCTGGAGTACCGCACGTGCCGAGAGCGCGTCCTGCAGCAGCAGCGCAAACGGGCCGCGCACCGCGAGAGGAACAAGACCCGGGGCCGGATGATCACGGAGGTACGGGGCTGCCCTGGGGGCTGGGGGCCTGCTAAGCCCAATGCCTCCCCTTCCCCTCACACTGGCCGTCTCCTCTCTCCGCAGATGGAGAGATTCTCCGGCATGGCCGACAGCCCTGAGGCAAACCCCTCTCCAGCCACGGGGTCGGCCTGCCCAGAGCAGCAGGCGGATGCAGGCCACGAGACCATGAAGAGTGTGTTGAGCTCGGCTGTGGAGCCCCACAGCCGGCGCAGCAGGGCCAGCCGAGGTAGGGGTCCGCGACCAGCCCGGTGACTGCACTTGCCCCAGGGCGGTGCGGGAGGGCGCGCCGGGCGGCAGCTGGCATCACCCTGACTGCATCTCCATGTGTGGCTCTGCGCAGGCCCCACGCAGCTGGGCGCGTGCTGGGGCCCCGCACTGTATGGAGCGGAGCCCGGCTCTCGCAGCGCACTGGGCTATGGGCACGGATCCCACCCCACGCAGCTGGGCGCGTACCGGGGCCCCGCACTGTACGGAGCAGAGCCCGGCTCTCCCAGCGCACTGGGCTGTGGGCACGGATCCCAGCACTGTCTGTGCTGCAGCTGCCCCCGGGCCCTGCTGTATTTGTGGGACCGCTGGCTCATTCCTGCCCATGCCCCAGCGCCTCGGTGCTGGTCTGTGAGCAGCCAGGGCCCCCGTAGGCCCCGCGATACGAACTGCCCAAACGCCCCCCTCCGATGGAGGACGTGACACTGGGGGTCCTGCCATCCCGCACCCCCCACACACACCTAGAGGACAGGATGCTGGGGGCCCGGCCGGCCCGGCCCTTCCTCTCTGGGGCCTGAGTCTGGGGTCCTGGCTCGCTGCCCAGCTCAGCGCTGCTGGCCTGCCCCATTCATGGGGCCCCTTGGGATCGGGGAGATGGAGCTCGATTACTGCTGGGCCAGTTTCCTCAGCCTGCAGTGGGGCTCGCTCAGGGGCAGGCGGGGTGCAGCACTGCTCCCCAGCCAGGTACGGCCCCACACCCCATGGGCTCCAGAGCGCTGGCCTGAACTGGGGGACACCATGCGGCCCACTCCCCAGCTGCAGGGGCATTTGGGGTGAGCACGGGGTGTGGGAGGGATTGCTGGGGTGCAGAGGAGAAGCTGTTGGACTCTTGGGGATGACAAGCATTCAGCAGTGGTGGGAGGAGGTGCTTGCTGCGGGGTTAGCTGATGGGTTTGGCAGTGGGAGGTGGGTTTGGCAGGGGGGCAGTAGGGCAGCCGCGGGGGGAGGTGGGAGCTGGCAGCTGAGGGATGGGAAGCAGCCGAGTGGCTGTGGCAGCAGGGTGTGGCAGCCGGAGGTGTTGGCTGGGAGGGAGCTGAGCTTGGCAGGGGGACTGGCTGCCACACACCAGCTGCTCCAGTCCCTCGGCCGACGTTCCTGTGCTCTCCGGGCAGGCGTGGGTCGGTCAAGCCCCTCCAGCGGCTCCGTGCCCCAGGACGACAGCTCCGGCTCCCCGGCCGACGCCTCGGATGAAATTATGGATCGCCTTGTGCAGTCCGTCACCCACAGCGCCGGCCCGCGGCCGGGCGCTGCCAAGGAGCGCAAGAGGTCACGTGTCAGCAGGAAGTCCAGTAAGTGCCATCCCCAGGCAGAGCCTGCCATGGGGCCAGGGCTGAGCCGTGCCATGGCATTGCTGGGCAGGAGGGGCTCTGCCTCTGCCAGCCAGGGTGACTGCTGGGAAACTGGCGTCATGGTGTCCGGTCTGACCCGCTGGGCAAGAGAGTCTTCGTGTGCAAAGCCTGTGGGAGGCGGAGCCAGGAGCTGTGCAGGCCCTGGTGTGGGCACTGCCCTGGTGCTGCTGCCAGCCCATGGGGGGAGCGGGCAGGGGGCAGACCCCAGGGCTCCCACCATAGCCCCAGCTGGCTGCTGCTGAGGGGCCGCACAGGCTGGAGGCTGTCCCACTCCTGCAGAGCCCGGCGTGGCGGCTGGCCCAGAGCCCGTAGAGCAGGCGTGGGCCCCTCCGGCCTGGTGGCTGGGCTGAGCGTGTGGCCGTGTCCCGGTTTGGGTGGGCTCACTGGAGTCTCCCCTGTGGCTGCTCAGAACAGGCGTGATGGCGGGGGCGG